AGAAAATCTGGAAGATTGATATAGCAGGCAGAAGGTTAATATTGAATATTTTATGGCTTCTTCTTTCTGTACTTAATCATTTGTCATTTTTATCTGCTAGTACAATCACCTGTTGCATGATTAGATTTATTTAAAACACATATATCTCTTACTTAGCTGCTATTCTATGAATTGTAATATGAACAATACCCAAAGCCAGCCCACCCCACCAATGTAGCCCCGACCGTTGATTTAACACACTGCTGTTTTCACTCTGAATGGTTAAGGGAGGAGGTCAGGGTGGCCGATCAGGTGCAACGAGTTACTTAAACACTGGAGACAGTTGTCGAGTTTCATGTTACTTTGAGTCGTGTAGATGAACTTACTTAAATTATGATTATACAAACAAACCAAAAGATGTGCACAGATAATGAGCTCGAGGGATCGGTGTGACTAAAACTTCTTTCAAATTTAATGATTTTCTGTAAGAGATGATATTGGTGAAAGACACTGATCCAAAATTTAAATCCTATGATGTTAAATACAAAATGTAATTCAATACAATAAAAAAAAAAATCTGTATCCTGATTACACAGGTGATCTGGTTTCACACAAAAAAAGTCTGCTTTTTTTGTTTATATTTTTTTATTTATATTGTTTCACAGTTTCTCTTCCTTGTGTTAATCATTACTCCACAATTAATAGTTCAATTTTTTTCATCTGTCTGTGTGTGTCTACAGACTCCAGTACAAACAGCAAATATAATGATGTGCTGTATTATTTAATAGCATAGAATAGCCCTTTATTATCACTGTACATGTACAACAAAATTGTGTTTTTTGTTTTTTTGTAGATTTATGTAAAATGTAACTGATGCTGTGTTCAGACATTAGTATCAGGAGAAAACACTCATCTTTTTTGCTTTTTGGTCATAAACAGGTGACATTTTGCTGGTGTACTCTTTTACTTTGAAAAGGATGTAAACTCACATTTCACGACAGATGGCACATGCTCTGAAGATACAAAAGCTACTTTAAAATAAGAAAGTAGTATAAAAGTATAAAAGATGTGGCTTCCTGTGTGGCTATCAGGGGAACTGCTGGAGCATCGAGTCTCCACCAAAACCCGAGTTGAAATTATCTTGGGACATTTAAGACACCGTGAAAACCACCACACACACATACACAGCCCTCTGATTTTAATGGACACTGAGACACTGAGATAATTCTTGCCCTGCAAGCCCCTTTGCCCCCTGTTACCTCCCCTACACACACTCCGAGACACACACTCCCGCCGCATCATCACCAGCCTCTACCTATCCGTCTCTCCCTATCAGCTGCTCCCTGCTGCCGTTGTTTTGAGAGGTCAGAGCTGTTTGTTTGCTCGGAGGCCCATCGTCTGATAGCACGTCGGACTACGCCTCCCCCTCCTGCCTCATCTTAACCTTAGCTGTTATCAGCCGACT